AAAAAAAAAAAAAAAAAAAAAAAAAAAAGACCATGCCATGAGATAAAGAAATGCCAACGCATCAGAAGTTGGACAAGTTTAGGCATCTCACACTTGAACAGCATATGTGTACCGCTTGTGGGGTGCAGTGAATGGCGAACATCATGTATAAAAGTCATTGAGGTTAAACTATTAAATATATTTCTAAATATAATATAGAGTTTTGAATTCATTATAATTTTGCCATCAAAAGCTCTTTCTCAGTGCTGTTTTGATTGTTTCAAAGTTTGCAGTGTCAGACAAGCAAAAAAATATATATTTGTAGAAAAGTCTAAATTCTGCTTGGCATGTTTATTTTCATTACGGGTTCACGACATGATCATTTGAACTATTTGAACTTGCGAAAATGTTATTATTGTCAGCTTGCACAAGCAGTCTGCTTAGTTGTTTTCCGGGTTTGGTCACGTGACGTTCCACATAAAGTGGAAGTAACACTTAACAGTGAACCTATGACGTTAATTATGTTTGACAGCTGAGGATGACATTTCCCAACATGGCGGCTCCTGAGATCAATGAAAATTGGTGGATGATTCCGTTTTAATTCGTATTCCACAAACGAAATTTTGATCAGATTGTTGTGTTTTGATGGGTGCTGGCACATACAAAGTACATATTTTAAATTTTTTGGGGGGGGGCTGCTTAATTCCCCTTTAAGAACCCAAACTGATTCAAACATCTGGGAGTCCATCCGCGTCCATATTCAATCACAAAAATAATAAACCCAATTCCTCTTTGCAACTATTTTTTAATTATCTAAATAGAACAGGAAGGCATTATTCGCGTGTGAAATGGATTCTAAACTCATGAGGTCACATTTGGTTTGTAGCTCCAAATGCGTCGTCACAAGACAGGAACTTGTGTGGAGTTACATAAAGGCACTACCGTTTCTTGTTGTAATGCGGCTAGCCGTTGGGGCATCCCATGCCCTTTAATTGTCCTTTAAGACAGCAACCATAAGATGTCCCTGCGGTTCGCCACATTACGAGAAGAAACGGCACACAGGTTCCTGTCTTCTGAGAGGCAAGGGTGTAACCACCAATGATTCAAACTCACATCACGCCACATACATGGGAAGGAAATGAAGTCAAATGACACTCTGCCTACAAAAAGGCGAATGACGTGTGTTGAACCGGACGTAACCAATTTAATGATACACTTTTGTCGTTAGTACAATAGTCGGTCTATTTTGCCACTCAGCTTCGTGATTTTTGTTCCATTTTTGCTCCGAGTATTTGTCGAGCGGCGTCCTTTTTCCTGACATCATCAATGATGAATATCAGTTAGCATCCACGTTGATGATGGCCATTCAAGTCAGTCCAGTCTGGCTCCTCTTTATGGGGGGAAAAAAAACACTTTTAAGTGAAGGCTAAATTTTAAATAAAATTCTAAAACCAAACTCCCAGCTGAGTGAAGTTTCCTATTTCTCTCCACCGTTGCGTGTTTTGTATTTCTCCAAAAACTCTGCATGTTTCTGCCGCAAGATTTCTGTCTGTTTCTTGAAACCGTTTACCCTGTAATAAAAAAAGGAAAAAAAAACACAAAATGAATTATAGCCAATTTGATCCTTCAGATACTACTTTCTTTCATTTCATGACAATGCTTGTCACTAAAAATCTTTAAAATCTCAAATCACTTTCCCCATTGAAATGAATGGAAATGCCATGAATCTGTTCCAGCAGCGCCTACCCCCAAAAAAACGTTTGTGATTTGTTTTCGCGAATAGTGTATGTCATGAAACATACAGTAATGCAAAATTACATACAATATAAAGAAATTAGACAGTTTTTGAGTGATCCTGTTCATGGCAGCTTTATACAGACATATGATTATGCTGTGCATGGAGTCGGTCTCAGAAAGAATATGTGCCTGTGAGTATTTAATATTACTGCCTGTCTACATGTGTTGCGCCTACAGGCGTTCAAAGGTTTATAATTGCAGTGACACTGATGCTATTCATTATCCCTTGTGTGATGATCATTATGATGTGTTGGCATTTAGCTGGATGACTTGAAGGCAAAGCTATGTAGTGATTTTAAATACCCAATATGCAACACTCAACATTTTTCCACATACTGTATGAATTGCGGGCTTGTTATTAGCTTAGCAATATGTCTGTGACTTGTGCCCATAACAGATCTTCAGGAGAAAAAAAAAAGTCATTTGTGGGCAGTGTGGGCAGCGTGAGCAAAGCAAAGCGACAAATATTGTCAAGTAGGAGACAGATCTGAAAAACATACCCTGAACACAAAAACTCAAATGAGTTTAAAAAGGAAGGCGTGACCAACCTGGCCCTCTCTTTGGATTCATTGTAAATTTCCGTGATGACTCGATCCTTTTCGTCCATGAAGTTGTTGTGAACCTCTTCCAGCTTCCTGCAACAGTTCACTAAAGTCAAGCTGACACGTTCTTCAAAAATCTCCAAGATCAGCAGAAATTCTAATGATACAAACCCAGGACATTCAGGAAGGTTCCATCCCATCAAGATGCTGACTTTTGTGAAAATTGTTGGGAACATCTGGGATCATCTAAGCCGGGGTATCAAACTTGTTTCACTGCAAACCACAGTGGAGCTATGGTAACCCTCAGCGGTCCGCTTATGACGATACTACATAAATGTATAATTGACAGGGGTGTAACGGAGGGTGTGCCAAAATCACAGCATCTTAGTTTTTAACTTCATGATTCGGTTCACATTAAGGGAACACCATCCAAACCAAACAGATTTAATGGCATTTAACCCTTTCAGGGACAGCAGTTACTAGAGTGGACAGCTATTCAAATGTTGTTTGATCTTATATTAATAAATCTTAATGTCACAGTTGTGCATCAACCACTACTATGGACCCTTATGTGTGGTGCCATCCACTTCCATTATTTTTTTTCTTGCCTAAAGACTAATTAGAACACTTGAGAAAAAAAATCCTGATGTAGCTTATCATTATTTGTGCATGAAAGGGTTAAAAAGAAACATCAATAGCTTTAATCTTTTGATTTTAGGAAAGCCAGATACTGAACTGTTTGATTATGGACAAGTCATTTGGCGATATGGTGAGGCAGTTACAATTTGTGTCCCTGACCTGATATGTTCGGTGTGACAAGCCTAATAATCACACACTATATCACATTATTACCCCTGCTTGTGGTTATTACCATTTTTATGGCTAATTTTTAAAAATGTGACGGGGAAGGTTGGATTTGCCACCTGCGATCGCAGGGCAGACAGCCCGTGAAATGAAATCAAAGACAACCGGGAGTTTCACCTGAAGAAGACGAAGTGTGCTCCGATACCGAGAGCCATGGTGAGGAAGCAGTAGCCAACCAAGTGGAAGTTCCTCCTGCGCCTCCTCTCCCTTTCCTCCGCGGACATCTCCTGGGTGTGGGACTGATACATTTGCTCCCAGTAACGTGCGTTGTCCTGCACCGTCGTGTCGCTGTGGTAAAAGGTAAACAACGGAGAATGGGCATTGTGATGACAAGCTTGTTTGAAATTGTGAATACAATCGGGCCGTGACGGTTTCAATCTGTTGGAGTTTACAGTCAGAACGCTGAGTAATGCAGTATGCTGTTGTCGGATTCCGGGGATCAAAAAAATCGTATTGCAACATGTCCTGAGGGGAAAAAGAACATCACAAAATATTTATGAAAGCCTTGTTCTAACCAAAATTACTCAGGACTGGCTATAAGGCTACTACAAATAAATAGATATCTTGGTGTTGCTATTAGGTTTAATTCATTTAGGGTGTTTTTTTTTTCATATGCATTTGAGACATCGTGTTTTGTCAAAATATAATTTTCTTCTTTGATATCATATTACAACTTTATCGTAAAACATACAGTAATGACTTTATACTCGAACAATAGGACTTTTTAATCCTGACAAAGTACATCTTAATTCCTGCAAAGAGCATTTTTGTCTTCCAAAAACAACTTCATGTTGAACATTGCAAGCCTTTTTTTTTATTATGTTTTCATAACATTACCACTATTCCACGTGATATAGTGGAACTTTTTAATTCCTGTGGCATTTAGTAGGAACATATTCGTAGAGATGTTTGATTAGCGTTGAGATCATGAGGGGGTCCTTGGAAAAACTATTCGTAACAACAAAATGGCATCACCTGGTCCCATAGCTGGTGTGACTAAAGGCTGAGCTGGAGGCCGGGCCTCTTCCTCCTCTGCTATAGAAACGTCTGATTTTGACATCATACTCCTTCCTGCTGAGCTCCTTGCTCAGCACGCGGTAGGCCTCGTTCAGCTCCACAAACTGGCTGTGCAGCGCTGGGTTGGAGGGGTCACTGTCTGGGTGCAGCTGCACATTATCATCGCGGTCAGTACATACTAGAAATATGGATGGTATATGTCAAGCTTTCACGGTTTTGGTTTATACTACGAGCCCTGGCTGAGAAATACACTTCTTGACGCTAGAGTATGACTGCCATCTTGTGGTGAGACATTTTCACCAGACTCCTTAAAAAAAAAACTGTTGCGAGATAAAGATGTACGTCTTCAAGAATAAAGTCCTAACTTGAAGAAAACAAAATGGGATGTTAAAAAAGATTTATATTTCAAGATTTAATTAATACAATTTCTATATGACGGTCGAAAATAAAGTTGTAACAGTCAGTGATGAAAGCAGGATATTATTTAGATTTAAAAATGGAATATTACGAGAGTACTTCATTATTGTCAAGAAAAAAAGTCTGATATCTTCGATATACAAGTAGAATATTTTTAGGCCAATTTGATTTTTTTCTGAATTAGTTACAGGATACAATGTGATAGCATTTTGGCACATCAACATCAGATTATTATAAATGCAAAATATAAAACAGTTTTCTTTGTTTAAAAAACGTATACAATTTTGTAAGAAAAAAACAAAAACAAGATTACCTTTTTAGATTTGTCAAAAAAGGCATTTTTAATTTCCTCCAGGGTTGCATCAGATTTGACTCCCAGCAGGTCATAGTAGTTGGCACCTTTTCTGATTTGACAAGAGAACACAGAGCGCAGCACAGGATAAAAACACAATTGATGAACATAAAGAGTGTTGGATTAACATGACACATTGTGTGCCTGCTATTGGGCAGCATGGCAGGCTAGCGGTTCGCACATCCACGTCACAGTCGAGTGGTCCTGGGCTTCCACCCAATTCCCCAAAATATACGCGTTAGCTTCACTGAAGACTCTAAATTGTCCAGAGTTGTGAATGTGATCTTGAATGTTTGTTTGTCTATAAGGGCCTATGATGGGCTGTTGACCAGCCAAGGGTGTAACCCTGCTTCTCTCGGTCAAAGTCAGCGGCGCTGCATCTCGCTCGCTACCCTAATGAGGACAAGCGTCACAGAAAATGAATGGATGGATGTTTGCCAGTACAGTTGGCTCAAAAGCTGCGCTGACCTCAAATCCAAAGAGATGCAATGCTGCCAGCTACAGGGATCTGGTAGTAATTAGTGTTTTACAAACATGAATTTGTTGAAAAATGTACTTGACGAATATATTCGTCCGTGGCAGTAAACGGCTTGAATCCAGTTGAAGAATATAAACAATGTGTTAATACTCAGCATTTTTATATTTTGTACATGAAGTGTAAAGGCAAAATGGATGATACAGCGCTAAAATTTATGTTGTTGGCGGGTGTGACATTACACAAAAGTACAGTGACAGGCCCTCACAAATGAAACCGTTTCATGATGCAGTACTGGGTTCATGCATTAGGATGTGAGCACCAACAGCTCATGCGCGGGGTGGGGCATCTTTTGAATTTGCGGCTGTCTCATGTTGCTTACATGACATGTGTGTATCCAAAGCAAAGAGCATGTTGACCAAAAAGGTGGAGCACAGAGGTTTTATTTATAGATTACCTTTGTGCGGCACTCCAGGATAACAGACGCAGTCCACTCTTGTAGCACACAAGGCAACTCTGGCAGAGACGCAGCTGCACCTCTAGCTGCATGGCCAAAGACAACTGCCGTAATGCCTTTGCAAACCAAAGCACATGGGTTAACAGCTCCATTGCTCATGTCACAACTAGGCTGAAACTGTCATAAAACATGTATGAAAACGTTCAACTGTAGATATTTACCCAAGTATACATCCACTGACTAAAACATTAAACACACTTGGATAGTCTTATGCAATGATTCTTAAAGTGTACGCAGGTTCTCTATAGTTGTAAGATAAGATAAGAGAAGATATCCTTTATTTGTCCCACATTGGGGAAATTTACAGTCTACAGCAGCAAGATTGTGGGTAGAAAGAAGAAAGAAGAAAAACAAAGTGTATGCATTTATTGCATATATTTATACACAAAAGAATCAATGAATTAAATGTCCAACTGTGCATAAAGTTACAGTTGATCGCTTTTCTTTGTTGTTAATCTAGTTTAATTTAACGTTTAAGTAATTGAACTTGAGTAACTTATTCTTTTTCTAAAGTACAGTACCTTTGGTTACATGAGAAAAGCACAAACTGATGATGTCTGCAATTGCCCCTCATTCGATGACGTATGATGACGCCTGAGAACCACAACAATGCCGTTAAATTAAAACAGCAAAAGTAACTAGCAAAAAAAAAAAGACATTTAAGATTGTTAACTGTGCGCAGTTAATAAATTGTGAATCTTTTACCACGGTCTTAGTACCACGACCTTTTTTATCTCACCACTCAAGCTCGTTAGTGTTAGCTGCAAGGATTCGCACACCCTTCTGTGCTGTTCATAACATGCTAACATTCGAGAATGACAAGGCACCAAGCGTTGTGAGTAAATACGAGTTGGAGAAGACAAGGAATTACTTTAAAGTTTTAATAAATGCGCGGTAATTGTAGCAGAAAACGGGTATACCGAAATGACTGAGGTTCATAACCCAATGTTCTTCTTGGCGGAGTTGCATAAACTCAAAATCAGGGATTTCAAACCCGGAATTCGGAAATATGTACTTTCACAATAAAATATCCCTTTGCGTACTCAGAACAAGAAATCCAAAGTTAACCATTCATATTAATGTTCAGTAGATGAAATAATCACTACAACTCATATGTAAAATCTTCACATGCACGTACAGCTTTAACATCTTAACCGTATCATCTTAAATATTCGTTTAGTGTGTTAAGTGACCACTGGTTTGAATCTTGGCAACTTGACTCATTCACATTTTTTAGGGTCTGTAACCACACCTCCCGCATGGGGTTTTCAGCGAACGCGATTAATTTGCTTGAGTAAAGATTTTTTTTTAAATGTAATGGTCATAGAAAAACTGCATTTATCACATCGGTGGTCAGAACAATTGATTGTGTTGTTTGTTAGTTTGTTTTTTGGTCGTTGGGTTTAGGTCACGTGCGGCTCCGTGAGCCAATGGCATCACTGGACAAGAAGCAGAAAGTGGGTTTTGACTTTGGCAACAAGGGAGTACGAGTACACTGCTTGACAGCACCGGGCGACCCAAATATAATGTACGTAAGCGAACTATATCCAATTTTAATCCATCAAGCGACAGTTTAGCATGCAGGCTAGCATTAAACACACTTTAGGTTGCTCGGTTTGCTCATTCTGAACCTTAATCGATGTTTTGTTGCTGGTGCATTACGGAGTCATTTAATCCACTGATTTATTATGAATGGACTGTCGCTACCTTCGCGGTTTAAAACAGAGGGTAGCCATCTTACGTTGCCACTACGACTGACTACTTCTGTTTTTTCCCCCCGCTGAAAGCACTATTAGGATGGGCAAAAGTCCGCAATTGCGTTGATGTTTCCACGTTTTACAACTACTTTTCAGCGTCCGCTTTTTTTTTTTTGTAAATTCATCAAAATAGGGACAGACTAAAAGGCTCAAAGTAAAAAAGCTTAACGTTGGTTGATGACATTAAACTACAACCAATCATTATCAAAATTCACATGCATGTCTACTCATTCTCACTCCAACCTCTGAAAATATCAAAACAATTGCCAGTGTATTTTGGATTTTATCGGCATTAAGTCTTTCTCCCATATAAAAATCTATGTGGACATCACACATCAATCCCTGAAAACGTCAAAATAATCACACCAATAATTAGGATTTTATGAATTATGACCTCTTCCTCTCCATACGTGCTCACTACATCTTCGTGTTACTTATAGTGAGGAAACTGTTTAATGTCCATAAACTCCTAAACATTGAGGTAATCGTTTCAACATTTCTGAGACTGATGTGGCCATAGCACGAGTAGAGACGTGCGTGTTAATTTTGGTGACGATTTATTGCAGTTTCCTGACATTAAGCAACATGAAGCTTGTTCACGCATACACTTTGAACTGTTGAGCTGTCTCTGAAATATTTTGTAAGGTGGATTTTTTTAAAGAAGAGGTATTACTTAAGAACATAATTTCATATTATTTATTTATTTGTCTCGTAAGACTCGAAAATACCTATTATTTTATTATTTTTCAATGCACACAGGGCAAGCATGCTTTAAATACTGTATAGTCAAGTGATAAGCCATCTTTTAGTGCGAGTGTGTGAAGTATTTTGAGGTCAGGCCGAGTGTCAAATACGGTCACCCTAAACACTATTATCAGTGCGTGTTTTACGTTTGGATACCTGTATGGTTTAATGAGAGCCACTCAAAGAACAAACTTCGGTGTTTGTATCGACCATTCAGAATTGTGAATTGTGATTGACAGAGGTGAATTTTGTCCCCGTCGGCTTTGTTTGATTTCATTGTTGATGGCTTCTGATGTCATGCAGACGAATCTTACTTTTTTTTATCGTAAGTTTCGGCAGCTTTCATGAGAACCTGATATCTTATTATAAGGCAGGTATTGGCTCGATACTGAGGTATCAATACTAAACCATCCCGATTAAAAACAAATGACCGTCCCTCAGGAGAAAAAGCGGACAAGAACGGCTGGATGACGGACCCTGAGGTTTCTTTGTTACTGCACTGCGCAGCCTGGCGAGGTCTGCGGCAGTCCCATGTGCGGGTGGAGCTGTCTGAAAGGTAGGGTCATCAAGCACAACTTCATCGAGGTCAGTTGTGTTTCGGATCCACAGACGTGACATGGCGGAAAAAAATAATTGTAGCCAAAATACTGTGTAGGAGCAGCTACAGATGTGTTCTCATTCATGGAAGAAATATCAGAAAGTAGGTAAAGATTTTGATAGTAGGCTAATATATCTCAAATAGATATAGATACATCTTGCAGCTCCGAAAAAGGAGAGCTGTGGTGTTGGTTTTTTAAAACGTACACTTTATTTATGCTTTGAACAGTCTCGACAAACAGACACGTCTGCGTCCGACTCTGTACCTTCTCTCCTCTCGTTTGACTCGAGAGGCGTTCAAAGACAGCCTCCGAAAAACGGCAATTAATGATCACTTCATGACACTAAGAAAAGCAAAAATAATTCACCAAAACAAAAAAAAAAATCAAGCGAGGAAATCGCAAAATAAATTCTATGGGGGCGTTTGTGAACACACAACAAAGGAATGAATAACATAAACAATTTGGAAACAGTCCAGTCTCCTACATACACAGAGCATGTGTTACCTTCATTGTAAATTTTATAGAAGGCTTTTATTTTTTTGCAGCTCCAGACATTTGATTTTTGTTTTTGTCCTATATGGCTCTTTAAACATTTTGGGTTGCCGACCCCTGCCCTAAGGTATAACCGTCAGACAGACGCCGCTCTCCAACGTCACATCGAGGAGGTGTGGACAGCGCGGGTGTCCAAGGAGCCATGGCTTTTTGATGGCGCCAAATTCCGCCTGCACTCTTTCCACGTCGCACTGCCTACTGCTCAGCTCTCATCCTGCACTCCATCATTCCAAAACCTGGACTGTAGACACAGTACAGCAAGTGCGCCACTGCTCACTCTGAGGCTGGGCCTCACCTCTTATAAAGACTACCTGGGCACCAACTGGTCATCCCGTGCAGTGGAGCTCCACAAACGTGGGGAGGCCGAGTTTGGCAGCAGCCAGGCGCTGCTGGCCCAGCCTTTAGGAGTGGGTGCCGTTGTGTGCACGGGCGATGGACAGGTGGTGTTCATCAGGAGGAGCCAGGAGGTGGCTGAGGCAGGTGGGAAGCTGGACCTTCCCGGTGGACACCCGGAACCAAAGGTGAGGAGAAGCCTTTTCACTGGTACAAGTCAAATCTAACGGAGATGGAATACTGTATGTCAAAGTGTTATCACAGATTTTTAAACAGTCGTGTTCGATGGGTTTTACAATTTTGGTTGCCCTCAGGTGGCGTGCGAGCGTCTTGGTGAGGCCAAGGTTGACTTGAACCTGCTGGAAAAGAATTCGGAGGCTGTCGTCGCCGAGCTTTTCTCGTCTATTTGTGCTGAGATTAGAGATGAGGTGGGTCTTTTTTCCAGTCCAAAGATGTAGGACTCGGGCTGGCGTGTAGAGACGATCATTCTATCGAGTGCCTTTTTCCAACCTATCTTTTAAGTATTTTGTCAAAGAAGCATCAATCACAAAGAAACAGAAAAAAATGATCAGAATCAGCTCATTTTGAACAAAGGCTTTTTGTTCCGACTGTTCTTGTCTCTCTCGTGGTAAATTACTGAGATTATTTGAAGCTGGAACTTGTTTCATGGAACCACAGTGTGAAACTCACTCAAATTTTACAAAATACAAACGTATACATTTTAGTAGCAACCCACTAATGATGCACTCTAAGCAATCGTTTCAATACCGGTATTTTATATCCACACACACACACACACACACACACACACACACACACACACACACACACACACACACACTTAAAAACATTGCATTTCTTTGGCAAATGGAGGATGCATAAGGATGCAATTCACACAGAAACACTTTTTGTCAGCCTTGCATGTCATTTTGGCAAGAAAAAAGTTCACGTTTTGGGAGACTTTTGATCCAAAGCAAGGTCACTTAGCCTCACCTGTGCAAGTCAACATGAGAAAAGATCGAAAGAGATCTGGAGGGAGCCCAGAGAGTTTGACAAAACAGAAACACAGATGGCCGAGCCATGCACTTGGACTGCCAGTTTATTTATGTCACTTTGTGAATAAATGTATAAAGTATCACCCTTCCACACACTTGGACAAAAACTGCTATTTTCCAATAGGAGGCACTTATTTTCACATTACTGTTGAATAAAAAGAATTTATATTATTTCTGTGGAAGCTGATTCTAGTGAATGCTGGGATAAAAGATGGTGGGAGATGTTATTGATACAGACTTATTGCTCTTTCCCTTTATATTCTCTTTATTTTTACTAATAAGCATTTGCCAGCAGGTTAACATTCCTTTGAGTTCTCTTGGAGAACCACTGCTGATGGGCATGATCTTGAATCACACGAGTGCCGGAAGACCAAGTGCTGAGTTCTACATCAGGTATACTCTCATTTGAGGATGATTTTTTTTTGCCACATTACAGAAAACCAGGCTGTCGGAAATGTCTGTCCAGGACAAGCCTGTTGGAGCGTGTTCTTGATATTCCAACTCTTGGAAATGTAGGAAAATAAATTATTCGTGTAAGATTATGTCTTTTTCAGGTTCGTTGTTCTTGTACAGATGACACATTTTATTATTGGAAGGGGGATCCACAACCCTATTTTTATAAACAGTTATCCCTCGCTATATTGCGCTTCATTTATCGCGGCTTCAGTACTTCGCGTTTTTTTCCCCAAAGTACCAATACTGTATTCAGAAAAAAATTGCCAAAGGCCTCGGAGGTTTTGTACATGCCTGTACACATGATTGGTTCCCGGCACGACGTCGACCAATGACAGCACGAGTGGATTTATCCCGTGAGCTAATTGTCTGCACATTTTCGCAGCCTGCCCAGCACCTTGCCTTGTGTCTCGTCACACTGTTAAAACGCGTTCACCTGTCTCTCCTCATCAATACCGATTAATTGTCTTATCATAAAAACATTGGCTGCGCGGGGATAGCTGGCCAGGAGCTAGCTGGAGGCTAACGGCGGCTACACCGTCAGCGCTTAAAGGGAGAGCTACGCCACCAACACAAGTCTCTTTCAAGTCTCTTGTACTGCTGTAGTCTTTGTCTCAAATATGTAAAGTATAATCACTGCTACCCACGTACACTTACACAAAAATTCCTCAGTGGGGAGCCAAACCTCCTTCGCGGTTTTTAACTTATTGCGGCAGGGTCCCGGTCCACATTAACCGCAATAAGTGAGGGATCACTGTATAAGCATGTTTTCTCAAAAAAACAAGTCTGAATTTGGTTGTGTAACATTAAGACTTTTTGTTCTGGAAAATAGGCAACTTTTTAACAGTAGTGTATAGGGATGGGAATCGTAACCAGGTTCCCAATAATTCAGTTCCTAAGAATTTTTTGTTTTCTTGGCTGATCGCTGAGTGCAATAAAAGAAGTTGGTGCACTGTCTGACAAGTGACATAAGGCACACGTTCACATTGTATGAAAAATGAATAATGTTCAAGTTAGTACAGCAGATTTTCCCATGTTGTTGCGTGACACCGGATTTTTGCAAAATTTTCTAGTCAGAGGTGGAGAATGTCCACCATCCCAGTCTTCTCTGTCCTCTCAAGAATTTTTGTCTCGAGATCTGGCATAATGAAAGTGTTCCTTTTGTCTTTGTGTCCTGAGTTGTTCGCTGTCATCGGACAAAATCAGAGAGTTATACTGGAAGGGAGGAGCAGAGGCCAACGAGTCCACAGACATCGTGTTCCTCAGCCGAGCGGTGAGCAATTATCTTTTTAAAAAGCTGCACAAAAAAACATATTGACTACGTTTACATATTCCAAACAGGAGACGTTGCGGCTGGACGGAAGCAGCCCTCTGTGGCAGGAGATGTGTCCCTCCGCTAAGGGAGCTGTGCTGCTTTTCCAGACAGTGAAGCCTAAACAGTTGTGATTTGATAAAATCTTATTTAAGAGCATTCAAGCTTTGAATCCACATTGTGCAATTAAAAACCCAATGAATACTTCAGAAAAATGACAGTTTTGTCCTGAAATATTTCAACGCTGATCCAGTCTGACTGGCTGATTATGACTGGCGCTTTCCTTTCCATATCTGGTTCATCAGTAGCCCTCATAGCCACTGGCGTAGTACAAGGCTTGGTCATGATAAGGCACAGTCCACTGTGAAACGTAGGATAACATAAAATCAGTTCTGATTGCATGCTTTTTAAATCTGGTTGTTCTAAATTAATATGTACTTACATGCTGGCCCCAGCACTGCATGTTATTCCAGCCTTAAGGAAAAGGCAGAAATGTAACTTTACAACATGAACAGTACATTATGGACAAGTATTTTAAGTTTTCCCCTTTGCAGCTACAATGACTCCCATCCACTCTTCTAAAATGTCTTCAGTGAAGGATTATGACTGATATTAAGGCAGAGTTTAAACTTTATGATTCTGAATTTGAACCAATTTTAAGTGGTTTGCAAGTCTTCTCGGTAAGAAGTGTATAAATTGCTTTTACAGTGGCCCCTTTAAAATGAATGGCATTAAAATGAATGGAAATGCCAATCATTTCGAGCCCTACTTTTTGCTAAGTCGCGAGTATGCACGGGTCCACTGTATAATAATACTCGCAGGCATATCACTGGCGTCAGGCAGAATCCTCGATTCTCCAAAACCATTACTTTTTAGGAATACAAGAAAATGGCATGTGTGTTGAGTCACTAATGTTGCATTGTCAAAGAGAGCAAGGGGACAGACAAACAGTATTGATTTGGGGGAAAAAAATAAATAAACGTGTGAAATTAACCAACTTTGGACAAGGTTTTGGCCCAATGCCAGAGATTGATTCTTTATCCTCTGCAAAGAATGATTAAATTACTGCATCTTACTGAGCAGTTGTGCGCGTCTTCTTCGTGTACATTCACATTTCTGTATTATACTGCATCCTGGTGGCCAAGGCGCATGCAAACAGAAAACCCACAGATTCACCTATTCACAACCACCCCTCCAGCCCTCAATGTTTTTTAAATTTATTTTTGCCCAAGAATTGGAGGTTTGCTCCACCATTGCATTTATAATAGCCATAAATGATATGCAGATTTTTGTTATTCGCAGACTGGCCTTGTCCCAATTTTCCCATGAATAGTAAGGGTCCACTGTTTTGTCTTGGAAAGACATGTTGCTGCACCGTTTGTGTTAAAATACCAATTGATTTGCCACGACATCAGGACAATTTTTTAGCTTGTCTATGCTATTTTGCATTCTGAGTTGGCTTTAGCACAGTGCACTTTACACAGGCGATATATAATTTCTCATACGTACTTTTCATTCCACTTCCCCTAATCCAGTGAGGTGGTAGAGGAGGCCCATGCTCGTGCGGTCTTTTCTTCAGCAAATACTTCTTCGGTTTCTCCGGTTTGGTAACAGGAGGCAGCAACCGTCGGGCCTCATCTTTATACTCCCGCAGCAGCGTCTGTGCCACATCTTGCTCCAGCTCCACGTAGCGTAATTCGTCCAAGACGTCGCCAAGCTGCTCAGGAAGACTGCAGCTGACTAGAAGGGGAGGAGTGGTAACATTTCAAAAAAGCTGTTTTGGCAAGACTGCTGCAAATCCAGGCCCACCTTGATGTTTGAGCAGAGCGGTCTCGGGAATGTTCTCGCCGTCTTTTTGCCGCTCCGACAGTCGTCTTTTCCACTCATCCGCCGAGGGGAAAAGCACCACTGCTGCACGCCGTCCAAAGCCAGAGAACAGCTGCAGCTTGTAACGCTGTGCAGAGAAGAGAGTGTTGCACTGCGAAAACAAACAAACAAAAAAACACAGGAGAATATTGCAATATTCTAAAAAGAACATGGACATTGTGATATTCCCAATATTATTTATTGTGATGACACCAAATCAAAATGCATTTTTAGGGGAAAAATCAGTGGAAGGCTTTCTCAGCAAAAATAAAAGTTTCACCATACTGTATTAGGATAAATACAGTACAGTCAAACAAAAGTAAATCCAAGTAAATAATACAATATCCTTAATTTGTAAATACTAAATGAAAGTATACATCTATTCACAGGCAGGTGTTTAGAATATTACTACTAAAAACAAGGTTTTTGAATTATTTTACTTTTTTATGTGCAAAAAGTCAAACAACTTAATACATGAGCTAAAAACGTTCTCAGCTAAAAAAGAAAATTGAGAAGCTAATAAAATAAATCTTAATAAAACCTTTCTTTGAAAATAGATTACGACAGATTAATTTCAAATATCTATCATCCAAAAAGGTTAGCTAAAAATAAACAGGAGAAGACAAAGTATTGTAACTTTTTTTTTTCATGATTATAAACACGAAAAGTTGTATCGGAACTTGAGGGCAAGGAGATCTGCTGAGCCGTATTTTTGGCACCCAAACCCTGTACGTTTGTTACGAAGTGAAACCTTACCTGGTCCAGGATGTAGTTGCCTGGCGTGTGAGCGGCCATTTTGATTAACTCGGTCAGACACTGGGCTGCCTGCTGTAGCCGGCGCTCCCTTGCACCCCCGCTCTAAAACGCGCAATCATACACGTTTGAGTCACTTGAAGGAGGCTAGTGATGGGTGTGCCACGTGAAGGTTTTAGACTGACCATCATGCACGAGAGAAGCTCCTCCGTGCCCAGCAGCTTGTAGTTTTTTTCTGGGTGCTGCTGAATGTGAGCTTTGGCCCAGTGGCTCTTGCCGGAACCAGGGAGACCCACCATCAATAATACCTACACAGACACAGATGGAAGTACAGAAAAGGGTACGAGCCCTGCCGTGAAAATCAAAATAAGGCAAGTCATGGATGCCCTCCAAATGTTTTTGCGAATGGTCTAAAACAAAATATGATCTCAAAAATATCATTTCAGACTCATCATACATTACTCGTTTGAACGAATGAACCACATGTGTGTGTTTGGTGAATACAAAAATCTACACACGCCTGTTGAAATGCCACATATGTGTGATACATATGAAATGGGACTAAGATAAATCATTTAAAACTTTTTCCACCGGTGATGTAACCAATAACTTTTTCACAGCGATTGAAAAAAAAAGAAAAGAAAAAAAGAAGAAATACTTTCAAGAGAGGACATAAAGATAAACAACTGATGGTCAGGAAACGCCTACTAAAATATCTGGACTTTATTTGAGATTATTCAGAGGAACTGTAAGTAGTGGCAGCTGTATGCTCATTTACATTTAAAATGTGTTTGGGTGTGATTTCTTTCTTCTGATCACAGTCACATCCCCAGTAATAGGCAGAAGTGTGTCTGTCTATAACTGCGGATGCAAACAGGATCTCAACTAATTTTTTTGTCTCTTGAATTCAGTCATACAGGGTATAGATTCAATTAATTTTTGAAAAAAAAAAAACAACCGTCATCTTTACTTCACAAAATTTGAACAGGGTGTTGAACATTTTTAGATAGAGTACCAATCAAAAATTTCAAAACACCTTAAAATTCAAATGTCTCAAAACAATAAGAGGTAAAAAAATTCAAGCTATTATCGCCTGATGATGCAGAGCTGTGAACTGAAAGTCATTCCAGATCATAAAGATGACTGAGAAAATACCAAGATGTGCAAAGCTTTTATCTGGGCAAAAGATGCATAGTTTGAACAATCTAAATTATAAAACATTGTCTTTTAATTAACATTTTTTTGTTTACCAAATAATTACATCAATATTTCTTCATAATGTCAATGATGTAAATATTGATATATAATACAAGAAGTTTTTAAATAATAATCTGTGAATCGCAAAAAGATGGAGGAAGACTGTATTTTCGAATAAGGGTTCACTGCAAGCTTTCTAGTGATCTAGTGCTAGAAATTTACCTCACTCTGTGCTCTGGAGCTTGGCGCAGACGCATTGCGATGCCTCAGCATGGCGGGGAGTGCTACCAGTGTGGTGAAGCCCGGAGGAACGGGGTACCAGGGAGGAGCCGTGGGGTCCAAAAGGAAGCGAACCGCACAGCTCTTACAGATCACATGAGGGAACAGAGCACGGCCTCCAAGCTCGGAGGCTTCCAGGGAAAAAGCCACACCCAGAAAACGGCCATTTTTGTGGAAGGAGAGTTGAACGCCGCCATCCGTGGAGAAAGACTGCAGGATGAGATCAGTCAGGATTAGTGCAAACTAAAGCACAGCAGACCTTCATACTCGGGTTGGGAGATTAATCAATATCATAGTCGAGTCAGTGTTGCCAACTTTGTGATTTGGTTGCTGTATTTAAAGACTTTGCTAACCTCTCATTTTCAAAAAAGCAAGTTGACCTCACCTGTACAACTCTACATTAGGGGGCACGACACCGCTTATCCTCACAAAGGTCGCGGGCGTGCTGGAGCCTATCCCAGCTGTCTTTGGGCAGTACGCGGGGTACACCCTGAATTGGTTGCCAGCCAATCGCGGGGCACACATAGACAAATAACCATCTGCGTTCACACTCACGTCTAGGGACAATTTAGAGTGTTCCATTAACCTGCCATCCATATTTCTGGAATGTGGGAAGAAACCGGAATACCTGGAGAAAACCCACGCAGGCATGGGAAGAACATGCAAACTCCACAAAGGAAGGCCTGAGCCGGAATCGAACCCTGCACCTCTGCATTGTGAGGCAGGTGTGCCAACCAGTCATCCACCATTCCACCCCTCTTAAAAACAAATGCATTTAAAATGTTAATTTATTATGGATCATGTTTAACAATTTTTTTTGACTAAAAGGGACAATTTCCCAAGAGGGAGCACTTGTTTTCATATGATTTGTAATGAAAAAAATATCTACTAGTATTTCAATTTTTTCTGTGGAGGTTGATGCTGGGAAACAACTTGAAACTTTCAAAGCTTGTTGAGCATCTGGAGCAATAAAGCAAACACCAAAAGACAAAAAGAAAACAAAAAGCAAAACTTGTTTAGAATTGGTTGTCATTTGAGAGCAGTAAACACACGCTACCTCATATTTTACTTGTCAGGTGTGGAGTCTCACCTTTCAAAAACCGCTCAAGATGTTATAAATGGGTATGCGTACACCCCTCATAAATGTGTGGAGCAAGAGAAATTTCAAGGCTGAAGTCACTCACAGCATAACAGCCGATGATGTCACCTTCACAAAAGGGCTCTCCAAACTCTTCTTCTCTCCCGCATGTCACTTTTCTCGCACGTCCATCATAAGCAAAAGAAAGCGCATCTTCACCTGAAGACAGAAAAAAAAAGTGTTTCAGAATTGGTATGTCATTTGCTGCCTGAAGGAACTCAATTTCAATACTACATGTACTATGTTTCACATAAGTTAAGAAACTTACCTCTTTTCAAACATAACTAGGTTAATCTTTATATATGAAATGACTACGCTAATATACTATCCTGTAATAATATGACATGTTAAGTCATTTTAGTAATGTTTCTCCCTAATTTGCAGATCCCATGATAATTGTCAATGAAATATTTGACAATTGGAAATGCATCTTTACTACTTTATGAATAAGATTCAAGGATTTCAATGTAAAAGTAGTGCAGATTATTTTTGAGTGACAAACTAAAACTGACAGTCACAACATTTCTGACAATAAACGCTTACCCAGCAGTAGGGATGTCTGGACCAAGGACCAGCCTATTCGGATCCCGTAGGACTGGTCGCTCTCCGAGCCATCCGACTGAGAGCTCAATAACCTCCTTTCAAGCCTCACCTCGAAGCCCACCCTGCCTTGCGACACACCGTGGGTGAGCCTGCATCCAGACCACAGGAGAGGAAATCTGTCCCAGAATCGTGGCTGACCGCAGGCGCCGTCAGGGCCCACTTGGAAGTGCAGGTGACTGTCATCTATGTGGAAATGGAATAGGATAAATGAAGCAATTTTATCATAAAAGCAATGTGTGTAAATTGCATTCATGTAAATACCCACATGAATGCAATTTGAGTGTATCTTCATCTTCCTCTTTTCCCTCATCTTCCTCCAAAGGACCTTGTGGTAGTTTGGCTCTGGTGGACAATAACATGTTCATTCACACTTGCTTCGTAAAAATACATTTTCAAGAGTCAAACCCGGTATCTCATAACTACAAGACAGTCATGCTAACCGCTAGGTTACAGTGCGGCGCTGACCTTGTGGTAGTTTGGCTCTGGTGGACAATAACAACATGTTCATTCACATTCGCTTTGTAAAAATACATTTTCAAGAGTCAAACTCAGTATCTCATAACTACAAGACAGTCATGATAACCACTAGGTCACAGTGCGGTGCCCGCCTCCTAAAAGTGCTCTTCTTAAAATCACATGCTCGTCCTCTCCATTACCTTTTATATCGTATCTCCTCTTTAAACTCGTAAAACGCTCGCCCTCGCACCTCCTCTGCCGGTTCCAGCTCGATCTTCTCGGCTTGACAGTCATCAACATTGGGTAACGGACACCTCGGGATGCCTTCAGCTTCTGTCTGCGTGGAGGAGTCGGAGAACTCTCGGGTCCGGTCCGCCGGTCCACACGGCGGCGTGCCACTGGCTGGCTCTGCATGGGAAGTGGACAAAAGTAGGGAGGAGGAGGTGGAGGCCACCACCGTTTCCGGGGTCTCTGTGATACCTGGCACAGGTGGGGCAGAGGTTTTAAGTGAAGGTGGAGGAGGAGGAGGAAAAAGAATGTGCACAGAGCCACTATACAGAACTGAAATGCAGTGTTCTTCCGCATATTCACAAAATAAAACAGTGGTTGATTTGTCTCTTTTGATACCTCAGGACAAAGCGTTAGCTAATATACAAGCTTCACTTTTCCACCATCTTAGTTGGTGGTAGTACTGTAGTAGTGACTGAACTGACAACCTCTTATCCATTGAGACACGATTTCAAAAGTTTAGTTACCATGGTATTCCTGTTACTGATATAAATCACGTCAAATTACAGAAGTATCAAAAGTATTGACAACTTAATTCGAGAATCAATTAATTGAAATTCTGGCTTCGGGGACATCGATATTTCAGGATCGATCAGCACATCACTGCACTTTATATAGATCCGTGTAATAATTAAAGAGAAGCGAATTACCTTGTCGTTGAACGTCCTGTTCGTGTATGTTCCCTCTCTGACCGCCGTTGTTATCCAGTAAAGACCATAAACGCTCCACAAGTTCTACCTTCAGCCCTCGGCTGTCCAAACCGGCTTGGTTAAGTCTCGACCGCAGCTCGGCCACTTTAAGCTTCTTGATGTCCGATAACTTCATCGTTACGAGTATATAAAAGTGGAGGTGGAATTCTATCGTTTTTGTGTTATTTTTGTGGTCAAAACAAAACAAAACAAAATTAAAACAAAACAAAACGATGGAGATTTCACAGCCTTACACCAAAACAAAGGTTCAATATGGAGCCTCGGCACCTGATTGGCTGACACGAGCTCCACCTTCCTTCCTCATCTCTCCAGTCTTGCAGATTTTACACGTTTCAAATGTTTCCTGCCGCTTAGCGACAATAAAAGTAACTACGTCTTGTCAATGTTGCGAATTAAAGCTGGAAAGAAAAACACAGTACGTATTGGATTAATTGAAAGTAGACCTGCATTCCATTTTTTTTCTTATTTTGTTTTGTTGTTTCTCATTTATTTAGTGTATGCTTACTCTGATGCTGCTCACTCTGACTGATGATTCTGGAATATTCCACTTTCATGAAATGATTCAATAAAAATAAATAATTAATTGCACTGTGTCATGAATAAATATGACTTTCACCTTTTGAAATTGAACTACCGAAATATATTTTTTCTACGATATTCTAGTTTGTTGGGATGACCAGTAGTTTATTAATATTATCTAAATCAGAGGTCACCAACCTTTTTGAGAATGAGAGCTAATTCATGTGTCTTGATTGTGTGAAGGGCTACCAAATTGATACACGTCTGAAATATCATTTGTACAAATTACATTTAATAATATTAGAATGTGTTATTTTTAATACTAAATGATTTTCAGGCTCTGATCATCTTAAAGATGTCTCACAATACTGCCCGTGTTTGCATTTTTAAATCATAATTTCTACTAGCAAATCACAATCCTAGCACTGGCGGGCTATTGGTGTGGTCCTCACGGGCTACCTGGTGCCCGCGGGCACCACTTTGGCGACCCCTGATCTAAATAAATCCAATTGAGCTTGAGTAAGCTATTTACCCTGGATGCTGTGCTGTTTCCAGTAAAAATGTATATAAAATACTGACAAATTAAAATATACAAAGACTACATTTTGGATGGGTTCACAAACAAATGACATGTCAATTTCAGCTGTATGTTCTCAACAAATCAATAAGGCAAGACACATTTCTTTGAAAATAAGCTCTTTATTTGACAATAACATTGCAAAATCTGGAACATTATGGAACACAAACAAGTACAAGAGGTAGAAACTACACATTGTTGGTCATTATTTACCAAGTTACAAAGTACAAAACGTGACTAACTGTCATCACTGCTTTCTTCAGACTCCTCACTCCACTGTCTCTGTATCATCACAAGTTCAACTTTGCATCATTTGTTACTCAACAAAATTGGCACGTCTGCAGACCCGTCTGGGTTCCACACAAACTTCAACATGGACAGTTTCATCTGTGACATCATTTACAGTGGTCGCGTCCACATCGACAGCATCATAATAAAAAAAAAAAAAAATAGATATAATAATTCGTTGGCAGAGACACGGACAGTTGTGCTTATTTTTTTGTCACTTGACAAAACATAGATAAGGGTTAGGGGAGAGGCTTCATGCGCACACAGTGAGACTGTTTCACTGTACATGGTGCTCAGTCACTCTCACCACATTACATGCTCCACTATAAAAGCATCGGAGTGCTACATCTGAACACTCAGATGTCACGCCAAACAATTTCTCCATGACCAGGAGATAAAAAGTGCAAACTCTTCCGTAAACAAACATGCACATTACATAGAATGGAGACACACATGATCTGGAACATCATCATCATTCTCTAGCTAGTGATTTCATTGCTGTAATAATATGCTATGCAAATTCAAAGGATAAGTAAACATAATAAAATACTGTTGGCATTATTGATGATACTGACCGGTAATACGACCACTTGAACTGTGGGAGTTCATGGCTGCTGTGATCAATCGGGTAGCAAAGTGCCTCTAGATCCAGCCTATGGTGCTGTTTTTCATTTTTAAATATGCATTTTTTAAATATTTCATACCGCACAATGATTCACTGACAAAATTAAAAATTGTGTATCATTTTGTGTCACACACAGGGTATGGAGCCTCACAAAATCTGCTTGGCAACAAGTGGCCAGGCAAATACGTGGCAAGGAAAAAGAATTTGAGCAATTCTGTCCATTGAGATTGCCATGCCATTTCTTCTGCTTTATGATGAATTACTTATTTTGTTTATTTTAAAAATGATTTAAAAATTTTAAATCTTACAAATATATATCTGTCCATACTGATGCTACAATGATCCAGAGATAAGTGATTCTGGAAATCCATGCAGCGCTACATCAATGTAACAATACATTATTGTAAAAAGAAACGAACCTGTCCTTACAATGAAATTTGATGGGCTTGTTCACACATCATATGTACAAAAAATAAACCTGTCAGCTTCCTTTAAGGGTTCCTTAGAGTGTCAGACCATGATGGTGGGGGTTTCTGGGGAAGATGGAGGGGTAGAGGGGTAGCCTTCGGACGGGGCATCCCTCAGAAGAAGTTCCTTTTCCCGCAGGATGCATGGCCCGTTATGCGAATGGTACAGACGCATGAAGGCCAAGGTAGACTGGAGCAACCACAACAGTGTCACAAACCACAGCGAAGCCTGAGCACAGAGACAAGACTCACTCAAATATGGGGTAATCCCGTATGAGTCATTCGTGGATTAACGAGAAGAAAGCAGGCAATTTGGGGGAAATCTAGGACAGAGTTTAGAATATAAAATGCCCTAATTCTGATAAATAGCCGGGTTAGGATTATTTCGCCAAATTGCTTGAGTTGGGTTGCATTCAGTTGGCAGGTGGTGGAGTTTAAGTTAATTAATTTTTAGCAGAGTTGCTGTCATTGTACTTTCTGGGGTTTATATATTTGACAAGTTAGATGCATTTAGATGTCACAGTTGCCTTGTTTTCATTTTGTTTTTTAACTTGCAAACCTTGCATGTTGCCATCCTCTTTCACTTGATTTGATACGAAACAATAACCTTGAATCCAAATGTAATAATATTTGTAGCTCCCGTCTTTAGCAGTAAAATGCTCCACTGTGATCTACCATCTTAGTTCAGTGAGCGCCCTTACCTGTGCCAGACTGAGCTCCGTGTAGAAGGACGACGTGTCCACGTCCAGATATAGCGGAACTGACTGGGACGCCGCACAGCTGGACATTAAGAAATGAAAATGCCTTTCAGTTTTAGCAAATAACAATAGTAAAACATCACAGTGTGAGACCCACCTGAAGGGTTCCGAGTTATTGTTGGTGACCGTGTCGCACCAGGAGGCAAGGCCCAGGGACAAGATGACGCTGGCACCGCCTGACAGGAACAGCATACATGCACTCAGCAGCACCGTCAAGAAGGATGAAAACAAAGTGCTGCGCAAGAAACATGCACAAGAGAATTTCATGAAACTTAAACCAATATATTAGAGTGAAAAAATATTCACCAAGTTATTTTGTATGAATTGAAAGGGGACATATCTTAATTGAATACCTGCATACAAGTAATCGGATCTCTGGGCTACCTGCCAATCCACCACTTTGAAGCAACAACCAGACTACTTGGAAATGTCAACATGAGGATAATGGTCATTTACATATGGTGATGTGGCTGCTGCATGCACCACATGCACAAATCCGCCAGTGGCTCTCAAACTAAGGTCTTTGTGCTGAAGGCCGGGTGCAAAAATTATGTGCAATAAATCTTTGTGTCGTAACATTTTTAAATTTTTTTTACTGCAAATGACGAGTTTACAAATAAAACACAAAACAAAAATGAAGAAACTTTTTATTCCTCCCACCTTAGCTTTGTGTCAATGAAAAATCCTGTTATAAATGTGATGTATCATCACCAAAGTCTGACATCCCTGCATGAATATCTCTTTATTTTAGAACAAAATATGCAGTATTGCAGGAATAAGATATATATATTTTTAACAAAGACTTTTTCCCCGGACAAAAAGACAAACATATTACGAGACAAAGTCGCAGTTGAAATTCACTTGCTAATATATGAGTTTTGCCCCTTGTTGAACTTTGACTTTAAAATCATCCATTTATCATTTCAAAGGGCAACTTTATTTACATCAAACTTCAACTTTTTATCCCAAGAATAATGCCTTTGCTCTTGTAAAGATTTAGAATGTTTGAAAAACATAACTATATTATCACAGCATAAAAAATAAGCGCACCATAATTAGGAAACGTAGTGTTGAAGTGCTGTCCTTGACGGTGAAAATTTTGATCTTCAAATCTTTCATGGGCCGCTCGCAATAAATGTATGTACTTTGTAGTACATTTTACAAATGCAACACAAACAGGTTTGGTGCAATTTTTTGAATTTCCTCACTTGCATTACTCCGAGAACACTGGCATCATATCTGGGTCACTGAAGTGTGCCATCTACAATAATCTCTTATCGCGAGCAAACGCGTGTTGTTTATTCATGTGGTGCGTTGCGTCCACTAACTCGTCATGTCGTCCGTGGAGGTAGAAGAGGCATCTCCACCCTTGCGCGGCCCCGTACAGCACCGTAAAAATTCCCACGAAGGTAGCGAACTGGCATGCCGCCGGCGGGCCCCACTGCTGCACAACAAGGCGGGCGACGGCCCCTGCCTCCCGCTCACCAGGCTCCGGTTGCGGGCCCCCTTCGGTCCTCCAGTAGCCGCTGGAGAAGAGCGCGCATCGGCCTTTGAACGCGGAGCCGTTGAGGGCCATCGGGACAACTACAAGCAATCCCGCCGCCATGGAGAGGGCGTGCACGGCGCAGTGAGCCAGCAATAGTCGCCGGTCCAGCTCCATGTCCTCTGGTCGAAGGGGAGGCCAGTTGTAAAGTTGTAAAACGAAATGCGCCGAAGTGAAATCAGCACATCTCAGTGCGTATAATTTGGAAAAGGCTTTTGGAGTCGGCACGTTTTGTCATTAGTTTCAAAGCAAGGGCGGAGACCGGACGACTCAGCTCAGCATTTCGACCGTTACGCAACTACAACGTGCAGAGGCATTTATAACAAAAGAAGATGTCTCACTCGGATAATTTTAAAATGTCAATCCAACAGCATTTCACAGTTGAGTTAATCCAAAACCGTCGCAAATTTTTCCATCACTCAGCACCAAAAAAATACTTATTTTACCACCATCACTAAGGCGGCGTAAACTCTTAGACCTGCTGGGTTGAAAGTAACCCAAATTGTG